AAAACTGAATTAAGACTGTTTATTATGTGATAGTCATTTATGACATGTAATTATAAACATGTATATATAAATAATTCATAAAATAAGTTGTGACAAAAATAGTGAACTGTGAATGTTATGCGGGCGGACTCAGTTGCTCGTAAATTGCAGGGTAAAAGTTATTATGAGTTTTGGAAAGAAATTAAATGTGTTAATAATAGTAAAGCGCCTCTTCCAACTAATATTGAAGGTATCTCTGGTGATGAAAAAATAAGTGAATTGTGGTGTAATCATTATAAGGATTTGTTTAATTGTGTACAGAGTACGGTGCAGGATGTTACTAATGTTGACTTTGATGTAAATATGGTTATCTCTCCAGAGGAGGTTAAAGAAGCTATCAGAAAATTAGACAGCAATAAGTCATGTGGTCTTGATACTATTACAGCTGAACATCTAAAGTTTGCAAGCCCGAAACTCATGCCGTTGCTTGCAATGTGCATTTCGGGCTTTTTGATTCATGGTATCTTACCAGATAGTATGATATCCGTTGTTTTGGTGCCAGTCATTAAAAATAAAGCTGGTCGCATTACTAGTAAGGACAACTATAGACCTATAGCATTGGCAAGTGTCCTGTCCAAAGTGCTGGAAAAGATATTGCTTGGTAGGTTAGAGATGTATATTCTTACCAAAGATAACCAGTTCGGTTTTAAAGCCAAACATGGCACTGACATGTGTATATTTGCTCTGAAGGAAATCATTGCGAGTTATCGTAGCAAAAATTCTTCCTTGTTTCTTTGTTTTCTTGATGCTTCAAAAGCTTTTGATCGGATAAATCATGAAAAGCTGTTACGAAAATGGCTGATAGAGGTATTCCTAAGTACCTGATTAGGATACTCGTGTTTTGGTATGCCCATCAAACAATGATGGCTAGATGGGGAAGTAGTGTCTCTGAACCATTCCATGTCAGTAATGGTGTTAGACAAGGTGGTATTCTTTCTCCCTTTCTCTTTAACCTGTACATGGATGGTCTATCTGACAATCTGAATGCTTGTAAAAAAGGCTGTGTAGTTGGTGGTATGGTAGTCAATCATTTAATGTATGCAGATGATCTCGTTATTATTAGCCCGTCAACTGCTGGGTTGCAGAGTCTGCTCAAGATTTGTTCTCATTATGGATATGATAATGATGTGAAATATAATGCAAAAAAGAGTCATGTTATGATAATTAGATGTAATTAAGGAACACCGTAGATTGGTATTCCCGGATTTTTATTTGTGTGGAGCTAAACTCAATGTCTGTACAGAGGCCATGTATCTTGGTCATTTCTTTACTGAGGATCTCAGTGATGATAAAGATATTAGTAGACAGTGTCGTAAATTATATGCTCAAGGTAATATGCTTGTTAGGAAATTTCATATGTGTTCTCCGGATGTGAAGGTGGCTTTATTTAGGGCATACTGTACACCTCTATACACTGCGCATCTGTGGTGTAATTTTAAGAAGAGCAGTTTGTACAGGCTTACTGTTGCCTATAATGATGCCATGAGAATGCTTCTTAGGGTACCTAGATACTTTAGTGCTAGTCAAATGTTTGCTGAGTTGAATGTTCCAGCCTGTTCGGCTGTATTACGAAATCTTATGTATAAGTTCATCCAGAGAGTGGATGTGTCTGAGAATGGTATTTTAAAGATGTTAGTGAACCCCTCGTATAGTTGTCTTAGGTACACATCGGGCCTCTGGAGATTTTGGCTGAATAGCCTGCTGACAGGCGCGGATCCAGGATTTCTTAGGGGGGGGGGGCCCAAATTTGAAATTATGCGAGCCAAATATTGGTACGTAATGGTGACCAACAGTGACGTAATGCGGGGGGGGGGGGGGTCGGTGCAGGGAGGGGCGAGTTTTCCCCACCCTCCTCCACGAAACGCGGAAGCTTTGACGTTTCATTAAATTATTAGAGAAAGAAGACGATTCGTTGTACCGTTCTCGACTCAAAATCTTCGTCTGAATTTAGTTTTGCCCCTCCCGCGCGAAGCGCGAAAATTTTTACGATTTATTAAATTATTAGAGAAAGAAGACGATTCGTTGTAGAGTTCTCGACTCTTAATCCTTGTCTAAATTCAGTCCCCCCCTCCCCCTCCTGCGCGAAGCGCGGAAGCTTTGACGTTTCATTAAACTATTAAAGAATGAAGACGATTCGTTGTACCGTTCTCGACTCTTAATCCTCGTCTGAATTTAGTTTTTCCCCTTCCGCGCGAATTTGACGTTTTATTAAATTATTAGAGAAAGAAGACGATTCATTAGAGAGTTCTCGACTCTTAATCCTTGTCTAAATTCAGCCCCCTTCCCCCTCCTGCGCGTGCGCGGAAGCTTTGTTGTTTCATTAAACTATTAAAAAAAGAAGACGATTCGTTGTACCGTTCTCGACTCTTAATCCTCGTCTGAATTTAGTTTTTACCCCTCCCGCGCGAAGCGCGGAAAATTTTACGTTTTATTAAATTATTAGAGAAAGAAGACGATTCGTTGTAGAGTTCTCGACTCTTAATCCTTGTCTAAATTCAGTCCCCCCCCTCCCCCTCCTGCGCGAAGCGCGGAAGCTTTGACGTTTCATTAAACTATTAAAGAAAGAAGACGATTCGTTGTACCGTTCTCGACTCTTAATCCTCACTGATTTTAGTTTTTCCCCTTCCGCGCGAATTTGACGTTTTATTAAATTATTAGAGAAAGAAGACGATTCATTAGAGAGTTATCGACTCTTAATCCTTGTCTAAATTCAGCCCCCTTCCCCCTCCTGCGCGAAGCGCGGAAGCTTTGTTGTTTCATTAAACTATTAAAGAAAGAAGACGATTCGTTGTACCGTTCTCGACTCTTAATCCTCGTCTAAATTCAGTCCCCCCTCCCCCTCCTGCGCGAAGCGCGGAAGCTTTGACGTTTCATTAAACTATTAAAGAAAGAATACGATTTGTTGTAGAGTTCTCGACTCTTAATCCTCGTATGAATTCAGGTCCCCCCCCCCCTCTCCCGCGCTAAGCGCGGAAGCTTTTCATTAAATCATTACAGAAAGAAGACGATTCGTTGTACCGTTCTCGACTCTTAATCCTCGCCTGAATTCAGGTCCCCCCCCCCCTACCGCGCGAAGCGCGGAAGCTTTACGTTTCATTAAATCATTAGAGAAAGAAGACGATTCGTTGTACCGTTCTCGATTCTTAATCCTTGTCTGAATTCAGCCCCCCCCCCCTCCCCTCCTGCGCGAAGCTTTGACGTTTCATTAAATTATTAGAGAAAGAAGACGATGCGTTGTACCGTTCTCTATACTCTTAATCCTTGTCTGAATTTCAAAGATGTTCTTTGTCTGCTCCTTTTACTTCCTACGTCCTCTTCCGATTTGGGGGGACCGCTCCACCCCCCCCCCTGGCTACGCGCCTGCGGTCAGATAAACACATTTTGATAACTTGTCCCGCCCCGGAAGCTCAGGGGTTTAGGCGTTTAATTAAGGTCAGATGATCATTTTTTTTTAATACCTATTATTTTGTGACACTGGCAGGTCACTTTTTTTTTTGGGGGGGGGGGGGCGGATCCCCCAAAAGAGGGGTTTTAGGCATTAAATTTCCGTCATATGAGCATCTAAGGGCCCGCCGTAGCACCCAAGGTGGAATCCAGGGGGCAGAGCCCCCGGAAGCTTAGGGGTTTTAGGCATTTAATCACGGTCAGATGAGCATATTTTGATGCCTCATTTTTTAACACTGGCAGTTAACTATTCTTTCTTTCTTGCTCTCATTCTATTTTTTTCTCTTTAATATACTTTTTCAAATAAAGTGGGGGGGGGGGGGGGGGGGAGCTCGAGGCTCCCGATCCCTGCCGTACCTCGGGCCCTGACATGTAGGAATCTCAAGAATCATATTTCGTGCCTGACTGTAAATTCAGGAATTTGTCATTTTCCAACAAACACATATACAAACGTATAATTTACTAAAAAATGAGGACAAATCTGGGAAATTATGTCATTTCAGCATTATTTGTAATCCACCGTTGTGGAATTAGAAATAAACCACTTTTGAATTTGATTTCTCCAAAGCCCCTCCCCCTATTAGTACGCCAGTATTTCCTTTTTTCCTTTATTCTTTCCCTTTCCTTCCTTCTCTCCTATTTTTTTAATTGGGGAGGGGGTCAACAGCCGGGGAGGCAAGGCCCTTTCGGCCCCCCCCCCCCCCGATTTCCTTCTTCCCCCTTTTCTTTTCTTCTTCTTCTTCTTCTTTCTTTCCCTTTCTCTCCTCTTTCCCTTTCCCTTCTTTTCCTTTCTTCTCTCTCTTTTTTTGTTTTTGTTTTTTGCGGGGGGGGGGCCAAGGCCCGCTCGGCCCCCCCCCCCCCCTGGATCCGCGCCTGCCTGCTGACACATGGCAATTGACTATTATGTTCCTGTTACCAAGGATTCCAGTATCCTTGTTTGTTTGTTTTTTATAATAGTTATTTATCATAAGTTTATTGTTCTGGTTAGTTGAACAGAGACAGATTGTTACAAGATACAACTTCAATAGATTGTTATTGATTGTTATACATGTACTTATTTTAATCTTACAGTTATAGGTACAGCTTAGAGTTAGTTTATTATGTTTTTTTTTATCAACCTTGCAGGTTACATGTTACTCTTAGAGTTTAGATTGTTTGTACGTATTGTAGACCTAGTATAGTTTAGTTATACTCTTTGTATAGTTTTGTTGTTATTATACTCATCATGTTTATACTCCCTATATATCTATGTAACATATGTTTTATGGACCTCTGCCTTGTGTAGTTGAGTCTGAAATAAAGTTCTGAATTGAATTGAATTGTGACTGATTGCCAAACAAAATCAAACCAAGAAAGAAAGAAAGCAGTGTTATTAATTTACAAGTCCTTTGTTGTCTGTTTGTCTCCCTCTACGACTGTTAATGCCATCGTTGAATGATGTCACTCAACATGATTCTATATTGCAAAGGCACTCAGCATGAAACTACACCCTGCATTGCCGATGTGTGTTACCAGTCTACCCATGGGGGACACGTGTATTATCTCATTTTGTATTGACCTATGTGTTATAGCTGTAAAGTGGGCTTGGTATGTGCGGATCGCAAGGCATCGTCTTTCGGCCGATCGCTTTGGAATGCACTTCAGCTCAGGCAACCCTGTCCCTCTCTGATACATTACAGGTTATCAAGTTGTCACGGACATCGGGGTTCATCCATTTTGATCGCAGCTGGGTGGTATATAACCAAAAAAGACTATGGGTAAAGAGGAAACATCTTTTACCGAGTCGCTGAGCGAAGACCAGTCGACAGCGAGCGCAACTAGTAACATCAACGGACGGGTCGTTGCTGCGTGCGATAGCGTGGTGATGGCGGTTTGGGATTTTAACGAGGCATTACGTACGGGGAAAATTGATATTTTGGATGTTCTGCTCCTTGCATGGCTTGTTTTGGCCACTTGTGTGTTCCTTGGATTTACAATCTACGAGAATACCAAGAGGAAAGAGGAGAAACTTGACAAGAAGGACAAGAAAGGACAAGGAATAAGTGATGGTGTCTATGGAGGTGCCTTCAATTCAGCTGGGAGCTCCTTGACACACAGCGGGCTACTGACGGGAGGGCGAGACAGCACCGATGGTGACCAGTATGGGTGGCTAAACTCAGTGGTTGCTTGGCTTTTCACACAGCATTCTCAGCAGTCTCCTGGTCAACTCGCTTCATCATGGCTCAAAGCTCTCAATGAGGAGTCCAGGAAACATGGAGTAAGTTTAACATCGTGATTAAAATTAAACGAATTGATTCAGCTCATCTCCGCTCCGGTCAAAACAAATTGAGGGACCCCCCCCCCCCCCCCTCCCCAGAATTACACATCATTTATTTTGAAATTTATTTTTGTGTCCAAATCTCCATCAAATGACATGATGACATATCCTTTTTTTTTGGGGGGGGGGGGGGGGGGGGGGGGTGTAGACTTAAGCTCCCTTACATGTAGCCTCATTTATCTCTGTATATAGAGTAAAGTACCCGGTAATCGGTCAGCTCCGGTTTTCGGCCAATTGGTTGGATACATGGTAAAATCACTTTAAAATACATCGCATAATAGCATAACACATATCCCACACATACCATACCATGCCAGTGTCACTGAAGAACCACATTTGCAATGAAAAATATATCCTAAAATATCACATTTTAGCGATGTAATCGGCGGTCCCGCTACCCAAATCTGAAAAATCGAGTTTCTTACGCGTGTATGTAAGAAATATGGGTACCATAAAATGAGCTTTATTTCAAGTATTTTTCAGATATAGAGTCCGATTTTGTGCTGGTCGCAAGCTCAAAAGTATCTCATCGCATGTATTAAATCAATGCAGCCGCACACCGCGACGCACACACGATATGTCCGTCTAATTCAGATTCCAACTTCCGATCACCGCTGTGCCTGTATTCGGTCAGGCGAGCACCCGGGAGCTCCGGCGTGGGATACCTGCTCCGCCCGCGTGTGCTATACATCAGCGCAGAAACGCACGGCGCGCGCGAGCGCTTCCGATTGACTTTGTACATGCGGCCGTAAACTGAAACGCTCGGCCGATAACCGGCTCCAAAACAGTGAAAATTGAAATGAATATTGTCATGGCAATTCGTGATTTTTTTTGGGGATTCTTTTTTTGTTTAAATAATAATAATATTTGCTTCATGATTTGAACAAGAAATGATAATAAATAGGAAGTAAAGAGTCCAATAAATAGGATTTTGTCTTAAGTGGCCGAAAACCGGGTACTTTACTCTAGTCTATCTTACATGTATTATGTAATGTAATTTCTCCTTTGTTCTCTTTCATTTCAATGAATCTGAAGAGGAAATCAATAGTTTGGTATTCTCTTGAAATATCAACAACATAAAACACACAACTTCTTCATTCTATAAAGACAGAAATAACCGTCTGGTATGGGTCATTCTTTAATAAAACTGACATTAGTTGACATTCCCCATACACGGACGGTATCCCAGACGTCTTGAACCGGGGGATAGATTGAGCCGAATCAGAACCTCTTTTGGCTTCGAAATTTTCCCCCAATTTTCTTTATCTAGATCTAATTTTCTGATTTACATGTACATGTATATAGCAGATAAAAAAAAACTATGTATCTTCTCCTATTTTGTATGCAACTTTTTATTACTTATTTCAAAATGCAAAATTTACAGACTAACTTACAGTAGATCTAGGCCTACATGTATATGAGTTATCCAATTTTTATCTCAGAACTGTGAAATGGTACGTTCATCCATTTAATACCCAGCCGATATATTTCCGGGTCAACCTACCTTCTTCTTCTTCTTCTTCTTCCTCCACTCTATCGGAGATCAGCAGCTACCAGGGTACTGCAGTTTGTCATAGCAGGCAGGATTGTCATGTCAGGTAGAAAGTGTATTATCGATTGCATTAGCACGAGCAGAGTGGATATTGTATAAAAATGACAGTGATGCATTAATAAGAAGGTTCTTTTGGTTAGGGCAGACAGTTAGAACATTCGGAAGTAGGACTGTCCGCGTGAAGGTCTCGGGGTCATCTGGATTGAATAGAGCGAGTGTCGACTGCTGTACGCCCCTGTGGTGGAGATTGTCGACCAGCTTCTGGCGATGATTCCTGAGTGGTTTGCACTTGGCTATGAAGTGTGTGATGTCCTCCTCTTCCGCTTTGCACACTTGGCAGAATCGGATTGTACCCTTCTTGATTTTACACAGCTGGGATTGAGTTAGGTACGTCTGAGAGAGAAGTTGTGAGCGTACAATGATGGCTTGACGTAGAAAACTTGGGGAGATGGACTTCGGGTAAAGGTCATGGGGGGAGCTAGTGTTATTCTTGAAGAAGAAACAGAACCAAAACATAGCGAATGGCCAATCAGAGCACTCGTCTAGTATTGGGTTTATGAATATTCATATATTACTGGGTCAAGCCGGGCTGACTCGTACGTTTAATGTAGCTATTGGACGTTCGAAAAGAAAAAAATGCATATTCATCAACTAAAACTAAGATGGCTGACAACGAATCCTTTGACTACGAGACTTTCTCGGATTAATCATCAATTTAGGATCTAAATGAGCAATCCATCGTAAATTAAAGTAGACATTTTTGTGTTATTTTTTATTCTTTAATATAATTATTGTAATATTGCAGCCAAAATGAATTTATGAGGATGTAAAGAGTGAAAATCTTGTTGCATATCTCATTCATTTTTGTGTTATTTTTTATTCTTTAATATAATTATTGTAATATTGCAGCCAAAGTGAATTTATGAGGATGTAAAGAGTGAAAATCTTGTTGCATATCTCATTCATCCTGCCGAACCGAACCATTTGTTCCACTCGGTGCCCATAGGCCGTTCTGTATAGAGGCGGTCAAAGGAGGTTGATATCAGAGACTGAAGCTTTCGGTCTACACTCAATACTGCTGCACTATGTACAATGTACATGTACACTCCACATGTATAGCATTTCATTCTTTTCAACGCAATGGCAGTTATTAAACCCTCAATATCCAATTATTCACTTTAGATTGTGAGGGATCAACTGAATAATCTGCAAGTTACAACTTTTTAAGCTGTCATCTCTAAAGATCAAAATATTTGCTGTTTCAAATCAGCAGGGAAAAAATTATTAAAAAATTGGGGGGGGGGGGGGGCTACTTTTCAAGCTTGCTTTCATGAAAATAACACTCTTTAATTTGTTTTGCATTGAACTCTATGCAAAATGTAGGGGCTCTTTAAAGACTTCCGGGGGCTCTTTTGGGCATTTTGGGGGCTAATTCGCCCTGAGCCCCCGTGTATTTTTTCCCTGTTCAAATGATGTGTTCAGTACTTTATGTGCTGTTTAACTAAAAGTGAAAAAGGTGACAAACTCCAAAAAATATGTACAGTATGGTGATTTTTACTCTACTTGTTGTACGTTATTAGCAATGTTTGATCGGGTTTCTTGTTTTTTTATTGTTTTTGTCGCTTTTTTTTTTTTAGTGTTTTAGTTTAGTTGTTTTGTTAGCTGTCAATGTAAGAAACAAAAACAAATCTTTTTATGCCTCCGTTACGAAGTAGCCGGAGGCATTATGTTTTCGGGTTGTCCGTCCGTCCGTCCGTACGTCCGTACGTCCCGTTCTCGTGATTGTGTTATCTGAAGAACCGATTGATGGATTCCTGCCAAACTTTGGTCATGTATGTATCTTGCAGAGCCTATGAACTGATTAGATTTTGGGGTCACGAGGTCAAAGGTCACAGGGGTCATTATGTAATGCAAAAACAGCTCGTGATCGCATTATCTCAAGAACCGATTGATGGATTCCTGCCAAACTTAGGTCATGTATGTTACTTGCAGAGCCAATGAACTGAGTAGATTTTGGGGTCATGAGGTCAAGGTCAAAGGTCATGCGGCTCATTATGTATGCAAAAATAGCTTGTGATCAGATTATCATTAGAACTGACAGATGGATTACTAATACTAGTTAACTCAGGACATCTGGCAGAGCCAATGAACTGAGTAGATTTTAGGGTCATGAGGTCAAAGATCAAAGGGTCATATGAGAAATTGCTTGTAATTACGATATTCTGAGAACCTGTTAATGGATTACAATGAAACTTGAATTTGAAAAATTTCTTCTATTTTGGTTTGTAAAATTGCTCTATGACGGAGGCATCATTTTCGACCGCGCGCAGTCGAAGTTCCATCTAGTTTGTTGTTAGTTTTTGTTTGTTATTCTTTTGGGTAAATATGCTTGTACAATCTAGTCATTCTGTAAATTTTCAATCTGTTCTTGTACTCGTACTCTCTTTTTATCCTAATTTCAATTTTTCATTTTTGTTTGTAGGTGGCAGCACCAATAAGGCATTTCCTTCCTTTCTAGCTGCCTCCTCATTCACATAAATACTCACTTTTGCTGTGTTTTTGTCTAGATCACCTTATTTTGTACTATTATCTAATATGTAATGTTTGTTTATTTTGACTATATATCTTGTCAAAAAACTGCAGCTTCCTTCAGGCAACACACTTTCTGAGTAACATGAACGTACATTGTACAATCTCATTTTGTGGATCTCTGCAAAATTCTGAACCCTGGTTTTGTGATTTTCAGCGCACGACTGTTTAAATCTCTCGTCTAAATCTAGTGTGGGCTTAGATTAATGAAGAAGAGTATACTGTACCGTACACACAATGTGCATGTACATGTAGCCCTGCACTAGTCATGTATGTTTTTAGCATACAATGGTGTGTTCTATTTTAATGTAATTTGACATGGGTTTGGCAACTTTGGCATAGACATTAGATTCATTATACAGTGCGTCCCAGAAAAAAACGAAACCGAGAAGTATCGATGTTCTATCATAACTTAATCACAACTATAATTAATGAATGATATATTTGGAAAGCTTAGAGTCTCCTCTTTCATGTGATGCTACTCAGATACATGTAATGCATATTTCACGCATGAGTGATTAAAAGCAATTTGAAGGAAGGAAACCAAAAAGTAATTTGGCGGGCGGTATCTGCATTTTTTCTGGGACGCTCTGTATATATTCTTCCAAGTACAAGTACATGTATTCCCCCTGAGGCTGATATCACATACATAATGTATTGTACATGTATGTAATACATCGTGTGTTGCCCTGCATTGAATTGAAATATCTGTCTCATGTCTGTGTACACTGTATGCATGAGCGCTATTTAAAGAGAAGGTTGAGTTCTGGGAAGAGGTGAAAAATAATTTGTGAGCATT